GTTTATATTTGATTAACCTATTTGTGAATGAAAATCCTTATATAGAATGACAATCCAGTTAAAATATTTCATGAACTTATTTAAACTTTCATTCCATCTCTAGCATGCAGTTCAAATAAGAAGCGATACCCCATTCTTGGAATAAAATTTTTCAAGTAAGACTGAAAGTTTTTAAAGTGGAATGACAGTTTTAAAGATGGAATAAAAAATTAAAATTTAGAATGTAATTTTACTATAGAATGATTATTTAATTATAGAAAATTTTTCAGTTGCAAGGAGCTATTGCGTTTATTCTTTAATCAACCACAGGCATTGCCTGGACGCTATGTGATCGAAGCGTTCATAAAAACTCGTTCGGAAGTTACACCAAACAGTATAAAAATTTTGTCTGTACCACTCGAATACCATACTGGCCAATCGTCCTGGAATGCGCCCTTTGAGTAACTGATCCGACCAATTCTAAGCCTTCAGGACGGCCAGCCAGGTACATCGGTCAGACCCGTCTTCGGTGAAGATGGGGACTTTTGAAGGCGTGGCTTAAGGCGTTTGAGATGAATAGTCAAAAAAAAAATTGGGGTTGCGACTTGAGAGACATGAGTGAGGAATCTTAACGAGTACTACTGATATTCATTTTATCTTTGCCTCAAGTCAGTCTTTCCTGATTCATTTTTATTGACATTTCTTGACGTTATGCTTTCGGCTGATAAAGTCACAATTCTCAAATTCTTAAATTATGCAATTATAATGTGCTATACATTTTATTTTCATTTATTATTTGCATAAATTCATTTATTGTTCTAAATCATAATCAAAGATTTATAAGACTGGAGACCGACGTAGATCGTAGTAGAAGGGTCTGGCTCCGTGCTGGATGCACTCAAAAGGAAGGGATTTGCATTAAATATTTATTTATGTAGTAGAAATTTCATTAAAAAAATCTTGCGTGACAGCCTGTTGGCCTTTTGGTTGCTAGAAGTGGCCCGACTGAAAAAGTGTGCATCGTAGCAAAGTATTGTTTTCTGATTTTCTTTTCTTTGATTGATTGATTCATTGGTTGGTTGGGGGGGGGTAGTCTCCCCCCCGCCACTCATCACACATACACAAACACACACATATAAACACACACACACACACACACACACACACACACACACACACACACNACACACACACACACACACACACACACACACACACACACACACACACACACACACACACACACACACACACACACACACATACACACAGACTAACTAGGCCTCAAGTTCCTTTTATCCTCACAGATGGTTCTTACTGGATGACTTGGTTGATTTGGCCAAGAGATATATCTCTCATGTGGTGATTGACTACGAGGCAGTGACTGAACCCTCAGAGTTTCGACATCTTAGACGAGGGATCTTCTCCAAGACTCCAAACCATTTCTTTCTACTCTGTTGGAGAAGTTTTGTGCTATGTTTGACTTTCGTATCGTTGGCCTTGGATGAACGTATTTGAAACTTGCAGGGTTTAGGTGGCTCTATATCTCTAAGCCACAATCTTAGAATGCACATAGACGTGGCTCAAAGTGCACGGGGCGCTTGGTTAAATGAGAGATTGAGAATGAGACTTGAGAGTTAGGACTCTTGAGGGGTGCGGGTCATGTCTACTCATCTGTACTTTCGGAGATTATAATGAGTTTTCACCTTCCCTCGTTCATCTTATCTTTGCCTCAAGTTAGTCAATCCTGATTTGTCTACACAAGTATTGTTTGAGAATATGTTTTTGGTTGGTCTTATCACAATTCTCTAAATTCCTAAATTGGCAAACTTGATAAGTGCATGGAATATTAAAATTTCATAATTTACTATCTGCATGATCTTTACTATTCTCAATCATAATAAAAAATTCCTAAGACTGGGGACCGACGAAGACAGTAATTAACGGGTTTTGTTGGAAGTCGGACGTACAGAACAGGAAGGGATATGCATTATTTAATTTAATTATTTATGGCAAAGATAATCAAAATTCTGCGTGACAGCATGTTGTCTTTCTGATCGTCGAGAGTGGTCTGATTGAGAAAAGTGCAACAGCGCGCGTAAGTCGAGAGAGAGAGACAGAGACTTAGGGAGTGCGCGGGCAGAGACAATGTCATGCGCATCAGCGCCTTCCCCCTCCCACAATCAATCCATCAATCATACAATCAATCAATCAATCAATCAATTCAATTAATCAATCCATCAATCTATCTATATATCAATCAATCTATCAATCAATCTTTTTGTTTTTCAAAAAATAAAATAAAATGGTAGGGTCTCTGTTACTCCCAATTCTGAGGCAAGCGCTTCAAGGTCGACGGGTCCTCTGTTGGAAAAGGGGGTACACACAATATAGTTATCGCGAAAGAAGATATCTTGTATCAAATTTGTGTTGAAACTTTTTTAAAATGGTATTTCGGGCATTCTGGCCGTATATTTAATCAATACAAGGGAAGACCGATATACATGCTAATAGTTGCTACGGTATTTCTATAAACCAATATTTCTGCAATTTCCTCTGGGGAGGCTTATTTTGGTGTTGGGATGGGGAGGGGATTTTTTTTTTAATCAATTGACTGATTGACGTATTGATTGTAGATTGATTGATTTATTGAAAAAGAGAGGAAAAAATATGCGGAAATTAGTGCACGCCCGACGCCCCTCTCTTCTGCAATTTCCTCTTGCACTTTGTGCGCACACGCGCGCGTGAGAGAGAGAGAGAGAGAGAGAGAGAGAGAGAGAGAGAGAGAGAGAGAGAGAGAGAGAGAGAGAGAGAGAGTGTGTGTAGGGCCTGTCTCTTATACACATCTAGATGTGTATAAGAGACAGCCCGACGCCCCTCTCTTCTGCAATTTCCTCTTGCACTTTGTGCGCACACGCGCGCGTGAGAGAGAGAGAGAGAGAGAGAGAGAGAGAGAGAGAGAGAGAGAGAGAGAGAGAGAGAGAGAGAGAGAGAGAGAGAGAGAGAGAAGGTTGGGCCCGTGAACTGGTGGTTTAAGCCACCAGTACTTGGCCCATCTTTTGATGTTGAGTCGGGAAACGCCCTGCACGCCAAGTTTTGTTGAGCAGCCGCAACACCGTTTCGGTTTTCTTTTGGCTGGCGCCTCCAGGCATTGTGGTCCGGTAGCCCGAAGCCCATGAGTCGTGGAGCGTTAATGGGAAATGCCCGTGGCCGATGTATTGACCAAGTACTAGTGGTTGCCTTCTCCTCAGGGGAGGACAAATAGATATATTTTCTCTCCCCTTATTATATCTGAACTGGTGTTCTGCCATGTCATAGAACATATCTTTTTCCTTTCACGACCTTCCACAACTCCTAATGTTATACAACGGACCCCTACAAGCATAGCTTTCTACCTCTCTTCGGTGAAGGGATGATGTTACCTCTCTCGGTGGAGGGAGGTAACGACATGTTTGCCCCTTGGAACAAATCTTTTTTTTTTCAGGACCTACCACTACTCCTAAGGCTATGCATACAGCAGACCCCTGCAAGCATAGCTTTCGACCTCTCTTCGGTGAAAGGATGTCACCTCTCTCGGTGGAGGGAGGCAACAACATTTTTGCGCCTTCGCCCTAGCGTTTAGGGTGCAGGGCTGGGGCCACCAGTGCTGGCCGGGCTAACAGAAGGACTGAGCATTGGCCAGTAACTGTGCCTTCCTTTTCATCTTCGCTCCCCCCCATGGGTAGAAGTAGTGTATACAGCCAACACTCTCCCACACAGCACACGCAACCCACTCACATGCGCATTCACACCCGTGTTGGCTGAAGACCTCACTAGTACTGACTTGGAGGATCCAGATGACTATCATATTGAGGCCGGGGACCTCACAAATCAACCCGAAGAAATTTAACCACCGCGAGCATTACGCAGCTTCCCTTACAGTCATAACGACTGCACACAGTGCACAGTCAACAAGACTGCTTGTATAATCCTAACAATTCCTTTTCAACAAATCTGCACCCTTTTGTTTTCTTTTTCTTTTTCTTTTTGGAAGAAATCATAATTATATTGCATGATGGAATAGAGGCCGGGAATCCTCAACAAAACAACCCGGTAACCTGTGCTGGAAACGGGGTCCAGTGTCCCATCTTCTCTGCCCAATTCTTCAAAAACCCCTTGAAACTCAAAATCCCAAAATCTGGAAATACATAAGTCTACAACAAGGGCAATCTCCTACTGTAATAAAGTCCCTAATGCGGGTTAAGCCATCTGCAAATGACCAATTGCCCACAATTTCCGAAACCAGTTGAAGCGTTTATCCCATATTCTTCTATCATTGGTTACAACTCGCCTGCCAATCCGCCTGGATCTTAAATCGAATGTTCCTCTCAACTTGGCACTGCTGCTCCTGGGGCCTGGACCGGCTAGCAACGTGTAAAACGGTGTGTGGTGCCCGTTTTGCATTTAAATACATAAAAAAAAAAAACCATTTTTGTTTTTCGGAAATGCAAAGTAAAGAACCCGCCAACAAAATCCCTGCGTCACTTTGACGGCCTCATCATGACAGTGGAGTAGCGGCAGCACACTTCACGGGCATGCTGTTTCGAGGGGGTTATGTGTTGCATGTGGACGTACCATGGAGGCATGTACACCGCCTTGGACAATCAACGAAACCACGAGTGGAAACAGTCCAGCCGATGGGCGGACACCTCTTTCCATTTGTGGAGAGGGGAGAGGTTGACGCTGTGTGTGTTGCCTTTTTGGTTGTGGCGGAATCCTACCGAGCATTTTAGCCAGTAGTACGTATGGTGGACGTTGCCGCCGAACAGTCACGCTGCGGTAGGGCGAGGGGGGGTCCGGCCGCTGTGTCAGTGGTGAGGTGACGTGGACGGTGGGACTCTTGGTACTCACCCGAAAGAACCACCGTACGTGTCCCTGACCGAACTGATGTGGAAGGCGGTATGTGAGAACCACTTCTCTGTACGCTCCCTTCACCCATTACTGAGGACGATGTGAGGCAGTAAGCAGGGTTCGGGGTGGGTGGGGGTTGCCACTCGGGGGGGTTCAGGGGTCCGGCCGGCTGGGGTGGGGGTTGCGGTGGTGGTGGGGGGGGTTTGCCGTCTTGCAATGCCGCGTTTGAGAAGGAGACTGCGAGAAGAGCTCGCTGTGGCAGTGATACTGAGAAGCATTTCCCACCCCAATCTCAACGTGTTGCGGATTCGGTCGGAGCACGTGAATGCCTGTAAGGGGCATGCGACCCCGACTGGCGATGAGGCCATGGATTTGGCGTGCACCCATGTCCGTATACGCAGGCGCACGAAACAAAGATTCCTCGGAAGTAGGGGTACCCGGGCGTTTCCACATGAGGACTTTCCTCCTTTGGAAAGCCTAGATGGTGCTCGTAAAATGACGCCTTAGGAAGGGGGGGGTGCATGTGTCCCAGAATAAGGACTGGGGTCGGACGGCACCCATGTATTTGGACGCAATAGCCGACATCATTAACCTCACTACGCTTCGGCCAACCTTACACCAAACACGCCGTTTGCCACGCACCCCTCAACTGTCAGTGGACAGACAATTAAATTTTCTCGACGCCTCAGGGAGTCGTTAGACACTCCTCGGGGACGTGATTCCAAGGATTTTGTCTTCGTTCCACCTGTCCTCGGAGATGAAATCGGAAATGAAAATGTGAAAACACTCCGAGGACAAATCCTTCGGCTCCGAGGATTTCCCAGCCAAATCGTCCTCGGCTCCAAAGGACCTCACGAGGTCCTTTGGGGCCCGAGGATCCGTGTTTCGCGGACAGGAGAGGGCATGCACGTAGAGAGACGTTACAACTGAGAATTCGGATCGTGGCGGCACGCTATTGGCTGAAAGCCTTAAGCACAACTTTTTTTCTTTTTTTTTTCCTTTTATTTTTCTGACATTGCTCCGAGGATGAGTCCTAAAACCGATGCTCTGAGGATGAGTGGAGCGAACACGACAAAAACCCTAAACTTTTCCGAGGATTCATCCTCGGAGCCCGAGGATGCCCCGAGGAGTGTCTAACGACGCCCTCACTCCCGATTCTTAATTTCCGAAAGCTGAATTACGTCGGCGCGAAGCTTCAAAAACACCCCATACAAAAAAAAAACATAGAATTCAAGCTTCGCGCCAAAGCAAGTGGACAACGAAATGGCCAACAAATGGTTAAAAAATATATATATTGGCTGCTAGCGATCTGCCTCGCCGAAAACACAGAAAATCGCTGTGGACAGTCGATTCGATCAACGACCGACCTTTGTCACGGACGGCCGCACGTAATCAAGAACCCCAGACCCGAAGCGTAAAACGGAGTGTGTCTGTCCAGGCCCCTGCACTGATATTCTTTAATCTTTGAAAAATAACTGTAACTGAGTTTCTTGCCCTCCATATCTGCTGAAGTAAAACCCCTTTACAGGCTGATGCCACTTATCCCCAGCCTTCTTGCAAAGACGTAGGGGCAATCCCATACATGGACCAGGCGTCCGTCCACGGCCACGAAGGTCCCGTGATGACAAGTTGAGAACGACCTCCTCCTCCCAAACGAAGAGTGGACGCAATAATGGTAGGAGCTGGCTGACTTCTGAGAAATCGAGGGCAAAAAACGACACTGCAGAGTCTTCTTGCAGGCGAGTTGTCCAGGCTCGGCCGGCGCGGAGGCAATCAAGGCTGGCGTGGCCGGAAAACGAATAAAGATTCCCTCGGGCGCCGCGATTTCCCAACGAAGCAGCTCGCCGACTCGCCAGCGACGACGTCGGACATTCGAGCTCTGTGCGTTTTGCGGAAGCAGAGCTCTGTGCGTTTTGGGAAGTAAGCAAGCAAGCACGCACAGCGAAGCGAAGATGGTGGTCAAGATCGGCATCAATGGGTTCGGCCGCATTGGAAGGTTGGTCCTGAGGGCTTCCCTCAACCACCCTAACGTGCAGGTGGTGGCTGTGAACGACCCTTTCCTTGATCCCGAGTACATCGTCTACCTCTTCAAGTACGACACCGTGCACGGCAAGTACAAGGGCGAGGTCGGTCTGTCCGCCGACAAGAAGCTGGTCGTGGATGGCAAGGAGATCGCCATTTTCGCTCTGAGGGATCCTTCCGCGATTCCGTGGGGAGAGGCAGGTGCGGATTACGTCGTCGAGTCCACGGGTGTGTTCACGGACAAGGACAAGGCGGCTGCCCATCTGAAAGGCGGAGCGAAGAAGGTGGTCATCTCTGCTCCCTCTGGCAACGCGCCTATGTTCGTGATGGGCGTGAACGAGGAGAAGTACACGMCGGATCTGGACGTGATCTCGAACGCGAGYTGCACGACCAACTGCTTGGCGCCTCTTGCCAAGGTCATCAACGACAACTTCGGCATCGTGGAGGGACTGATGACCACCGTGCACGCCGTGACGGCCACGCAGAAGACGGTGGACGGGCCATCTGGCAAGGATTGGAGGGGCGGGCGTGGGGCTGGATTCAACATCATTCCCAGCGGAACGGGCGCCGCCAAAGCTGTGGGCAAAGTCCTTCCTGTGCTYAACGGCAAGCTGACGGGMATGGCCTTCCGTATCCCGACGGCCGATGTGTCTGTGGTGGATCTGACGGTGAGGCTGGAGAAGAGCGCCAGCTACGACGAAATMAAGGCTGTGATCAAGAAGGCCTCCGAGACCGATCTGAAGGGCATCTTGGGGTACACGGACGACGACGTGGTGTCGTCGGATTTCATCGGCGATGCTCGGTCGAGCATCTTCGACGCCAAGGCGGGKATTGCCCTGAACGGGAACTTCGTGAAACTGGTGTCCTGGTACGACAACGAGTGGGGTTACTCCAACCGTGTGGTGGAGTTGATTGAGCATATCTCCAAGGCTTAAATCAGTCTGTGTGAGTGTGATGTGTGTGTTGTGTGCGTAGGTAGGTAGTAGCTAATTAGTTGAGAGCAGTGTGTTGTGTGCTTGGGTAGGTAGCAGCTATTCAATTGAGAGCAGCCGTTGTGAGGGCACTCATTGTGTTTTTCCCTTGTTATTTCTGATTGGCGGAATCATAGTGAGACGATGTGTTGTCTTGTGCGTTTTCTTACATCGAATTTGGGTAGCTTTTTGCGGGTAGGGAGGAGAGAAAAGGAATGTAGGGTGAGCTGCAATAAGTCAAATCTATTTGATTAAATCTATTCTCTGTGGGATCGAAACAGATCAAACAAAAACGATTAAAAGAGAACTTTTAAGGCGATGGAATGGTTGTCTGGTTCTCGCAGCTCGATGGAACGAGTACTTCGGCATTGTAATTGGAGATCGGATGCCTTTAAGGCGACTATATTCCGACATAAATGGTTTTTCTTTTGTTTTTTTTCCATCTGGATTCGAACTCAGGTGTGTTTTCTTTGCGTTTATCTATATAGTTCCATCTAGATTCGACTTCAGTTGTGTTTTTCAACAGTTGAAAGCAAAAGAAAAATGTTTTAGTGTTTGGTTCCTGCAGTTCGACCGACTGCTTGGCATTGTAAGTTGAGATCGGACGCCCTCAACGTGATTATGATGCTTCGACATAAAATGAGTCTCTTTTTTTATGATGCTTCGACATAAAATGAGTGTTTCTATTTTTCTGGTTTCTTTTTTTTTTTCTGTTTTTTTTTTTTGGAAAGTGTGTCGACTTATATTTCATAAAGGCATTGAACTGAGGCCGGGGACCTCACAATTCAACCCGGAAGTATCATCAGAACCAGCTGGAAACCGGGTCCAGCGTCCCATTCCTGCCTCCATTAACTTTCCAAAAACTTCAACTTTTTTTTTCTTTTTTTTTTCTTCTTTTTATGTATATTGTTTTTAGGGACAAACTTCGAACTTTAAGCACAGAAAAGCCTGAGGAGGGGGTCCTGCATACAATCAAAAGATCGTTACAGAAGCCTCTCTACCTGCCTCCCCTCCTTTATGTAAAAACGGAATCCTACACTTCAACTCTAACCGCAATCTACTGTTGGAAATCCTTGGTGAGGGCGAAACGCCCTGGCTGATCTGACTGTAAATTTTGATTAGTCTGTGCCCGGGTGTGCAGAGAGCCAAGGCCTGCCTTTGTCTTATCCTCTTGAGCCCTCTGTCCTATCAGTGAGGATCATCTGGCATAAATCACTGCAAATCTGCCTTCTTTTCATTTATGTAGTTCCATCTGGATTCGAACTCAGTTCTGGTTGTCAACGTTTCATGGGTTCTTTCCTTTTCATTTATCTTGTTCCATCTGGATTCGAACTCAGGTCTGTTGTTCTCAAGAGTTCATGGGTGTATCGGATTTCATTTACGTGGTTAGTGGGTGGAGTGGGAGAGGGGAGAAAAAATGGAGGAGCAACGGGGTGTACGGGGAGAGCTTTCTTAAAGATTGATTGTAATGTCTTGTAGCTCGTGTTTTCTTTCAGTGAAGCCACTGAGAGTTTATTGTGTTCGCTGGTCGTCGAAATGTGCTAGTCTGAGGATGGATGGGAGAAAGGGCTGATAACTCCCGGTGGCGTTGTCTATGTGTTTATGTGTTCTTTCGTTTGTAGTCTGAGGATGGATGGGGGAAGGGATGACTCCAGGAGACTCTGAGGGGGAAAAGGGGCAAATGATGGTATCGAGAAAGCAGGGGGGTTAAAGAGAGATTGGGGGTTTGGAAAAAAATGTAATTACCGCTAAGTGCGGAATTCTACATATAATATGGGCTTCGTACACTGGGGAGTGCGGGGAGGACGGGGGAGGTTTGGGGGGGCCGGGGGAGTGGTCGTTGCCGTAAAGCCGAGGTTGAGAATAAGTGACGAACACGGGGTCTCTCGTAGCTGAAAGGTGGCCATGGGTGAAAATCCGTGATATTCATATATAATATAAAAAAAACAGAGAAGAAATCTAAAGATAGAGCATGACGCAACAAGGGAAGGAGAAGGTAGAACAAAGACGAAGAGTGTGAGATTAAGGGCCAGATCCCACCAGCCCCTATTGTTCATATCTGACCGTTGATCTTCGTAATCGAGGGTGGAAAATGAATAATCCAGGGTAGTGGGATCTGACCCTAAGTCGTCTCTGTCGAATGTGGGTGAGTGGTAACAGTTTTTTTTTTTTTTTTTTTTTTTTTTTTTTTTTTTTTTTAACAACCCGATCGGATGCTAGGTGTGCTGATAAGAGCAGACACATCTAGCACCGTCGGGGGTTGTTGGGCACATCAGGACATCCCGAGTCCTGATTTGAATTACGTGGGTGCCATAAAATGCTTAAGGTCACCCTTACGCAGGGGTGACACGAATAAATCAAAAAATGGTCCAAGAAAAAAAAAAAAAAAAAGATGTTTGGACTCCTGTTTTGACAAGCTAACCGAAAAGGAAAACGGAATACAGATATGATAATCAACGTTTCCTTCCTCCCTCCCCCCCGCCTTTCCCTCCCCCCTTTCTTCCTCCCGGCAACCCCCCCCTCCTGCCACGTTTAGGGGGGCGGGGAGTGAGGGACTAGAACGCGGTCACGATTTCTGTAAAAAATCCAGTTCGAGCATCCCTCGAATACAACGTATCCATCCCCACCCGACCCTAAAGGTAGGTTGTATACATTCACGATTTTCCCTCTAAAGCTTTGGGACGACATTCGCGAAATCGTGACCGACTCGGAAGCGCATTTTCAATCTGAAACCGTGACCGCGCCCTTTTTTTTTTTTTTTTGAAGGGTTCTATGGTCCAATGAATGGCGGGCCAAATATTGAACTGAGCAGAACAGAAACTGGACTTTTATCTTAGCCACTTTGCCTTTCCCTCTTAAAAGTTTCTTTGGTGTTCTGTTTCACATCCGTTAAAAGGGTTGGAGCGATACAGACCAGAAAAAAAAAAAA